CGTCGCCGCCAGTCGCCACCCGTCGCCTTCGCCCCTCTGGTTGTCGTGGGGTAGCACTTAGGGTTTCTGGTTTCAGAAAACACCTGATCCGGTTCAAGCAGTCCAGTTCAATCGGTTTGGTTTCAAGTGGTTTGATTCATCTATTTTGTTTGGTTTGGGTGGTTTGGTCTAGTTCTGTCGTTTTGTTCAAATAAGTTCGTTTGTTTGTTATGGCTGAGAAGAAATCAATCGTAACTTCTGAGGTGATCCCAATGATATCAAAAATCACAGAACACAAGTTGAATGGAGCACGAATAGATTATTTGTCTAACAAATTGGGCATGATTAATATCCCTATATATATATATATATATATATATATATGCACCAACTTGAGGGGGAGTGTTAGAGTATAGATATTAGTATATTTTATATTCTTGTATTAATATTAATTTGTCCTTTGTCCTTCCTTCTCCTTATAGGATTAGGTCAACCTTGTATATTTGTCTATATATATAGACTTCAGTAATGAGAATAAGAATAATCGGGTTCTTTGAAACTTAGTTTCTACAAAATCAAAATATACATTTATAATCTAAAAAAAAATTAATATGAAATGACAAACCTGAATCAAAGTGCCAGAAATATTCTCAATGGAGTAAGTAGTTCCATACCACGGCTCAACCTTATCAGTCTGGCCTTCGAATTTCTTTGACTCCCAAAAGATGCTACAGAACATAAATTAATCAGTCAATGTGTTTTCTTTAAAAGAAAACAAATCTTTGATTGATGGTATGAAATATTACAAAATGGGAGGAAAGTTTTGTCCTTAACCAAGGAAGATTAAGAAATTTCTTCCAATTGGCCAAACGATCATTAAGAGAATCCTTAGTTTCTGAAGGGAGAGAGATTTACACAAAGATCATGTCTTTTAGGCAAATGGTCCGATAACAAAAGTACTGATACTTTGATTATTCAGAAAATATACAATATTTCAATTTAAATTAGGAAAAACATTACATTTTTTCTTTTAAAATAAAATCAACTTATGGTAAATAAAAGGAACAAGAGTTAATGGGAGGATACCTTATCATCTCTACCATTAGGCGTCCGTATGAAATTAAATTGATAGAAGACAAGTCAAAATTATTACATTTCGAAATTCAATATAAACTTTGTATAGAATTGCATTAAGCTCCCTAACTAAAACAGAACATAAACAGTTGTAAGAAATAAATGCATCTTGCGAGTTTACTCGGTCTATTAGGGGCAAGTTCTTGGACATTGTAGGGGTGTCCTTTGCTCGTAATAGGAAGTGCACGGGTTGAGGAGGTTTGCTCTGCCCCTCTTCAGTTGTGGCAAGCTTGTTTTTTTCGCTATTTTGTGGTATTTGGATTAAGAGGATTAGTAGATTTTTTTAGGGGTGGATAGGTCTTGGGGGAAGTTCGGGATCTAGTTAGGTTTAGCGCCTCTTTGTAGGTGTCGATTTCTAAAGCTTTTTGTAATTACCAGATGGGTGTCATTCTTTTGAATTGGGGTCCCTTTTTGTAGGTGGTTCCCCTCTTGGTGGGCTTGTTTTCTATATGCTCCTTCCTTGTATATTCTTTCGTGAGAAATAAAAGCTCAGTTTCTTATAAAATAAAAATAATAAATTAATATATATATACATATACATATATATATACAATTAACGCTCGTCATTTTGAGACTTTAATGCTTAATTAGAATCAAACCAAACAGTAACTTACCGGAAATTTTCTACAGAAAGCTGATCCAGAACTGTTCCTATTAAGTTTGGATTGAATTTTGAAGGCAAAGACGAACCAACTAACCAATCTTCCGGAGGATACAACTGAACAAATTCCAAAGTAAGCATTTAGACTGGAAGATTACCACTGAAAAAATTCCAAAGTAAGCATTTAAACTTTCTTATCAAACACCTTTTTATTTTAAGATAAGACACTAAAGCTTTTTCTTTCACAAAATCAGCACATGGAGTTTACAAAAACCTACACCAATTGGAAAGAATAAGATATAGGGATATACAGGGTTTTATTTTTTAAAAAATGGTATTTGATCATACTCATGTCATTTCATCTGAATGTACGTGTCATGTTGTGTCATGCTTGGTTTTAGGGTCAAGCAGTAAAGTTTATGATATTCACTGCATTTTTCTACATGCAATTTACAACTTTATTAATTAAATTTTATCAATGCTACATCTCCAACTAGTTAAAATAAAAAATGTAAAAATTAATAATGCACACGCCAAAATGAGTAAACAAAAATGTAATAATGGCATCTTTTTGCCAAATAACTACAAAGCCCCCCATCCAATTTTAAAAACGCATATCTAGAAGAATATCCAGCCAAATCCAAAATTTCAAACCTAGGCTAGGCAAGAGTTCTTCGGGTCATTATTGATGATGCTCAAGTTGCTTTTGTGGAAGGAAGACAAATTTTAGATGCTATGCTTATTGCGGCCGAGGCAGTTGGGGACTTTGAAAGTATGAAGAAGAGGGGTTATTTAATTAAAATTGACTATAAAAAAGCCTACGACATGGTTGATTGGGGCTTTCTAGATGCTGTGTTGTTGCATAAGGGTTTTGGTAAGAGATGGAGGATGTGGATTAAAGGGTGTGATTCCTCGGCAAATTTCTCTGTTTTCATCAATGGGAGGCCTAGGGGGAAAATTTTTGCTACTCATGGTTTGAGACAAGGGGACCCTTATCCCCTTTCCTCTTCACCTTGATTGGAGACTCCTTCAGCCGGCTTGTTAATTTTTGTTGTGAGAGGAGAATCATTCGGGGTTTTACTGTAGGTCGAGAAAGGATTGTGGTGTCACACCTACAGTACGCCGATGATACGATTATCTTTTGCCCGACATACAAAGGTAATTTGGATAGGTGGTGGGCTCTTATCTCCTTGTTCATTAAAGGCTCGGGTCTCCGTATAAACTTGGCCAAGACTTCTCTGATAGGCATCAATATTGGGGAAAATGAGGCTACTTCCAAGGCAGACAAAATTGGGTGTCGGGTTGAGCAAATATTGTTTCGTTATTTGGGTCTTCCTCTTGGAGGGAATCATAGAGTGATTGAGTTTTGGAGACCTCTTGTGGAGAAGTTCAAATTCAAAATTAGAGAAATGGAGAAAATTACTCTTGTCCAAAGGGGGAAGACTGACTTTGGCCCAATCTCCAATCTGTTTTGAATAGTCTTCCTATTTTCTACTTTTCTCTTTTAAGGGCACCGATGAGCATTACGAAGGAGATGGATAAAATTGTGAGGGACTTATTTTGGAGTGGAGCTACCTCTCACGGGTGTAAGAATTTAGTGAAGTGGGATATTTCTTCCCTTCTGGTGAAGCTTGAGGCTTAGGCATTGAGGCTTTCCGCCCAAAAAACAATGCCCTGCTTATGAAGTGGCTGTGGCGTTCTACTCGGGAGGAAAATGCTCTCTGGAGGAGAGTGATTGCTAGTATTTATGGAGTCGACAAATATGGGTGGTTGACAAAAGCTCCCAAAGGAAAGGCAAAAGGTAGACCCTGGTTCGATATAGCCAAAAATCTCTCCGCTTTTCAAGAAATGGTTGTGTTCAAAGCAAATCAAGGTGACCGGTTAAGTTTTTGGATGGACAAATGGGCTGGAAATTTGCCACTTCTGCATGAATTCCCGGGTATGTTTGCTCTTTCCTTAAAACAGAATGCTTATATCAAAGATTGTTGGAATGAGGAGAACCAGACTTGGAGCATTCTAAGATTGTTGGAATGAGGAGAACCAGACTTGGGACCTAGCATTGAGAAGGGGTCTTTTTGATAGAGAAATGGAGAGTTGGGTGAAGTTAGTACACTCTTTTGTCCTTGGCAGAGAACCAGATAACATGGTCTGGCACCCTGAGGGGGATGGTCAGAAATCAGCTTTGTTGAAGCAAATGGCCACCGACTCCCCAAAGCTACAAGCCCCCCTAATCAATTTTATTTRGAAAGACTCTATTCCGAAGAAGGTGAAGGTTTTTCTTTGGTCTTTAGCTTACTGAGCTCTAAACACTTCTGAGAGACTTCAGAAGAAATGCCCAAATTTGTCTATTTCCCCGTCGGTGTGTTGCCTTTGTCTAAGGGAAGCAAAATCTTTAGATCACTTGTTTCTACATTGTACGTTTGCTTCTAAAAGTTGGCAGATTCTGTTTGAGATTTTCGGGTTTGTTGGTTGTATGCCGAGAAAGGTTGAGGATTGGATGATGGAAAGCTTTGCTGGTTGGCATCTCAAAGGAAAGGAATGTTTTTTGTGGAAGTGTGCATTTCGAGCACTTCTTTGGAACCTATGGATGGAAAGGAATATTCGCTCTTTTGATGATAAGTCCAAATCTTTTGATTCTTTTTATAATAGTGTACATATTACAACCTCTTGGTGGTGTCATATGAATACGAAATTCTTTTGTAACTACAACCTCTCCATGATCCTTCAAGACTGGAGAGCGTTGATTCGTTAGTTCCTTTTTGGACGGGGTCTTCTCGTCCCCTGTCCCTTAGGTTGTTTTTGTGTTTCTCTCATTAATGAATTGTCTCTTTATCTAAGAAAAAGAAATAATAAAAATAAAAATTTATACCACATAATATAAACCAAGTTCATTTGGAAAAAAATTACAAATACCTGCATATTTAATGAAAGATTGACTACATAGTCAATTGGACGAATTTTGTCTTGATAATGGAACTTCGTCTCACAAATAGCTGAAAGCTTCATGAAGGTAGAAAAGTTGTCTCAGAATCTTTTGAAATCAAAAGCACAACAACTACTTCATAACAAACATGGACTAAAAATAGTATAAACGAGTAAAAAATTGATTAAAAGACGGTCACTCTTACTTTTTTTTTACCACAATAAACCGCTATTATTCTCTTGTTTCAGACTTCTGGGTATTGAATAACTCATCATCTAACAAGCTATGTGCTTACAAATACAGAAACAAATAAATTTTGGAAGAATATTTGGATATGAAAATTTCCTCCTAACGTCTATATTTCCCAGGCACTATGCAACTTGTAGCATTTCTGTTTCAAGGTTACCTTCCTCATTGAACAATCTATATGGAATTTAAACCAAGCAATATGACCTAAAAGGGCAAGAAAGCAGAATAGGAGAGTCCTTTGTATCATATAAATACTTGGTCCAAACTCCAGACAGATTGGAACTATGTTGAATCATCTACTATTTCTAGACATGTTACAGAAGCCATCTTTGCATATGATAATGATTTTTGAAAAATCAAAGCTGCAAAAGCACCTAGAAAAGTTCACCTTTTGGCTCCACTAATTCCTTGGGAGCTTTTGTAGATTCATTCTTTTAGGGAGAAAATAAAAGAATACAAACGAAAATATTAAAAAAAATGAAAGCTGGAAAGGGGAACTCACAAAGAAATCAAACTAGAGATTATAAAAAGAGCTTCAGTTCTGGAGAATAAAAGACAGAATAGTTATAAAACTCCTTGAACACAAACATCAGAAACGAGGCACTAAAGCTAGCTGTCGACCACACCTCCCCAAAAGACTCTTAATCCTTTTAAAAGTTCTTCTATTCCTCTCAAGCCAAACATTCCAAAAGTAACAACAAAGGTTGCACACCAAAGGGCCCCAGTAAAACAATACCTCTCTTCAATCATCAAGTCGCAGGATCACTTATGAGCAAAAAACACACCAAACCTCCAAGAAACTACTCCAAATCGAATGTTAAAACAAGTACCAAATGTCCCCAAAAAACACAGCAAAAATCTCCAAGAACCCTTTATTTAGGGCTTTGCCATGAAGGGAGTCCTTCCCCTCAAAGAGAACCTTTATGCAAAAACTACTCTAATTAGCTTAATAGCACACTGCAATGGTTATAGCAATGCATGCACATACCTCATCAAATATCCATTTGCATATACCAGATTGCTTCAAAAGGTCAATGTATTTAAAGAGTAGCCCAACAATATCCTGCATGTGCTCTGCAACCACAACAAGAGATTTTTTTTTTTTTTCAGTTCAACAACAAGAAGAGAACTTTTTAAATGATACTCAGCGAAACAGATGAAAAAGAGATAGAGATGGAGGGACAGAGACCTTGACCAGCATCAGTAAGATCAATTATTACTTTGAAAAAGGAAAAGTTCGTGGTAGAATCAGATTCACCAGCAGAGAGCCCTGTTGCCCACCCTGTATTATTTTCCAGGCAATAAAGATTACATCAGATTCCAACAAGAAAATAGTTAATTGAAGGCTGTAAATTGAGATAGAAGACAACAAACAGCTATTATTTTGATGAGAGATTTTTTTACTAAAGAGATAACAAACAAATAATAGAAATTGGTAAATTTATATCATACAAATAAAAACAAAGGCTAGCTAAAAGTGAAACAACCCAATATCCAATCCTGTAAAATAATAATAATAATAATTGAAATAAAAAAATGCTCAAAATACTTCTCATTTCTCTTTATCTTCTATTATAACCTTGCTTAAAATCAATTAAAAAAAATCCATCTGTTAAATATAATTTATTAGTTGCTATTTTACAATTTTATTAATGACATAAATTTAAAAGTTATATATATTTTAGTTTGATATTCTCATGTCTCTTTGAATTTTTTTTTTTCCTTTCCTTTCTTTTTCTAAAAAGGAAACAAGAGAAGGTGAAACATTACTACCAAAACAGTACATGAATGTCCCTTTTGGAGTTTGCAAAAAGGCACCCCCAATTTCATTAATTACATAGGGAAGATAGTTACAAAAAAGAAAAATTAGAGTGAAGCACCAGCAAGATAAATGAAATTTTGCCAAATTCAAAAGACTGCCACATTCTCTCTCTCACGCACACACTCTCGATTCTTCTCTGTCTCTCCCCATCTCACTTTCTTTCCATTTGTGTCTCTCACTCCGCACTCTCTCTATCTCACACTCTTTTGATGTTTTCCTTTCTCTCTCTATCTTGCTGTCAATCTCACTCTCTCCAACTCTCCATCTAGAATGTTTACTTGATGTTTTCTTTAGAAAGAAAGTTTATTTGATGTTTATAATTATTACTCTTTTTTTCAATATTATTATATACATTTCATATTTTTTATTTTTCATATATAGTGCACCTCACTGAAATAAGCCCTCAATTTTTTTGTGCCTCACGCTTGAACCCTAAAGGGCTATTGCGCTTTAGTGAGTGTCAAGCTTTATTGTTGATAATAAGATCGTTGATGAATGTAAATGTAAAATACGAAAAGGTGGTGATTAAACAAATTGAGAAGGCGAATGACAAAGTCAATTGAATTTTCCTTGACAGAGATTTGGAAGTTAATGCTTTGGTTTGACTTAGAGAAAAGGGTTGGGTAAAACTAAGGTCAAGAGAGGAATTAAGCTCTCCCCTCATTGGTGGACAAAGGCTTATCTAAGGATTTGATCAATGGTCTCTCTATGGGAATTGGTGTATCAAGTGTCAAACCTTCAATGCACGTTAACACCCTCCTTTCTTCTGTAGCTAACGCTTCTAGCCAATTTGCGTAACATTATGAAGGCTATTGAAGCTGCTTCGGAACTTAGAATCAATGTGAGTAAGTCAGCCATTGCTAGATTAACTTGACGACACCGAAAGCTAAAGATTTCGATGCTATCTAGGGATGCCCACCCAATCAATGATTCTTATCTTTCTGGGATCTGGTGGCTCAAAATGTATCTTCTAGATTGAATAAGTGGAAGAAGAGATGCTCAAAAGGGGGTAGACCATAGACTAACACTAAACGAAGTCATGCTTTCTAGTCTCCCCACCTATTTCTTTTCTACGTTTCGTGGCAAAATAAAATTTGCAAAACCAATGATAGATAAATCCAAAAATATTTGCGGGAAAGTGCTAATAAAGTGGGGGGTACAAACATTGTTAGCTGAGAGATGTGAAATCCCCCTACTCTCAAGGTGGCCTTGGCTGATGTAAAAATAAAAAACAAAAAATAAAAAATAATAATAGTGCTCTACTCTTAAAGTGGCCAGGTAGATTCCTGGATGAACGAGTTTGCCATTGAAGCCAAGTTCTCATCCATTAGTGGTAGTTGTTTCCTGATTGAATGCAAGGTCGCTAGTGGAAGAAGCCCATGGTGGAGCATCCTTAAATTGAAAAGTACTTTTCAAAGGATTTTTGCTAAAAAAGGAGAGACAACTCTACCATTTGCTTTTGGACATATGATTTGTGTAAGGTAGGATGTGGCTACTTAAAGGACAAAATTTCGAGACTATTTGCTGTCTCCAATTTGAAGTTCTGTAGAAATGAGGCTTGGGACTTGAGCTTGATGAAATGGTCTCCATCTTTTAAAAGACAGCCTCGGGGAAGAGAGGTAGGTGAGTGGATACCTTCAATGACAACCCTGAGTAACTTAAACCTATTACCGTTACAAGATGAGAAGTGTAGACCATTGAGAAAGATGGTGTCTATTCAATTAAGCCCAGGCCCTAGGCCTTTCCCTCTTAACTTCGAAATACTTTGGAAGTAAAAAGTTCCCAAGAAGTTCAACRCATTCTTGTGGACACTAGCAATTGGGTCTGAGCACAACCGAAAGGATTCAGAAAAGGACTTTAATCTTAATGGTGTGTGGTTTGCAAAAAGAATAGTAAAACAGAGAATATTTACTCCAAAATGAAGTCGTCTAATATAGTCAGCCAAACAAGTCAATATATGAAAGTTGAAGTGCAGATCTCACTCTTGAAAGTCTGAAACTTTTGGTTAATATGTACAATAACGCACCCAATGTTTTCAGAACATAATACAAGGATCCTTCTCCTTCATGGCCAATAAGATGACCTAGATATCGGCATGGTCCTTCCTTATAATGATGAATCTCAGGAGTTATTGGCCAAACAATTCTCAATTTATGACCTTGTTTAATTGGGATGGCTCTAACAAGAACCTGAAATGCAGAGAACATAAGGTTGTAACCAGAAGTAATCACATTTTTTAATTAGTATCAAAAACCTCCCGTTAAGAAGAGAGCAGCCACTTCAAAAATATACTTTCAGAAGCAATCACTTCAAAATTAAAAATCAAGTCAATAAATTCAAGTCCCAAAAAGTTCCCTCCAAATGAGTGCATACACAATCCTTTGTCAGCATATCATTAGGGGTGATGAAATACATATACCTTGAGATGTTCTGACGTGCATGGCTGACCAGGAAAATGAGCACAATTGCAGTTATGGTTTGGAATATCTTGAAATATGTTTTCCACAAGGCTTTGTACTTTATCTAGGTTTTCTGAATAAGGTAATAAATAAGAAAGTCAAGTTAAAAATGATTCATTCTGCAAAGCACAAAAACCCAATTTATAGTGGGCAGGATGAGTACTAACCCTTTGCATATACAACCAGATGCATGATATTGGATGAATAATTTTTTTCATGGAATCTTATAAGTTCATGTCTTGTATCAAGCCCTTTAGCTTTTGGTTGAACCTCCAAAGTGTCCCAATTCCCTGTGTAAGTAAAAATATCTGGCACAATAAGGAAACTAGTCGCCTTCTACACACAACCAACAGGTAAATTGCATGAACTAGAAGAATTTCCCTGGAATCATGACATAGTTAAACTAATTCCAGATGTACTATCTTCCAGAAACGTATTTCACAGACTCACGGTTAAAATATAACTGTTTCTTAATGTAAACTAGAAGGGAGGATTATAAATTTTAACAAATTAATGAGGGAGAAGATATTAACAAGCCAATTCCCTGAGCAAATAAATCTGAACCATCTTCATCCACATGCAAATAATTTACATATTCTGATATGCAATAAAACTTGTAGCTTATCAAATCAATCAAATGACAGCACTTATGAAATCCATATAATGTTATAACCTGTGCTGAATTTATGGTATGGATGACTTTCAGAACTTATATGTCTCTGAAGCTGCATAAAGTGACAACTTTTAGTCAGAAAGGTGATCGACAGAAATATAAATAAGTCCAAACACTAACTTGAGAAAAAGGTCATACTGTTAAGTGTTATGATTAGAAAAATATTAAGGTAACATTTATGTCGTTGAACTCCTACAGTTCTGGAAAACCTCCCTTCTATATTATTTTGTTCCCTTACTTCTGCAAAGCTGTACAGGTTCTTTCTTAATTATTTTCCACTTAATTCATAACATAGTCAAGTTACATAGTGTATAACTTAGTGTAGTATCATATCAATGAGTTTGCTAATCATAGAAGTACTTGTGTGGTCCGCAATATGGTATCGAAGCAATTATTCTGAAAGAAAAATTGAGAGAAAATYGGGTAGCCCTGGCTGTCACAAAGGACAGCTACATGTTTAGGAGGTTAACTTTCTAACCCAACTACTACTAGCAATATCAGAAGCTCCAATGAAACTATTATCCCTCTAACCAGACATAAGCTTACTGGAAAACTTTCCCTTTGATGGTAATAATCGGTTAGGATGTTTATGAGCAGTAAAAGCAAAGATAACTGTCACAAAAGAGCAACTGTTAAACCAGCAACTCCTATCACAAATTAAAATTTGGAAAGCCAAGAACAATATGGTTATCTCATTAATTCAATGATGAATGAAACTGGTAGAAATTTTACTCCTTTAGCAAACGGCAAAGGAGAAATGAGATGCAGGCAAAAACGAATTAAACCACATGCTCCACCGCTTGTGCGGGCCCCCGTCAATTCCTTTGATATCAAGGAAAATCTATTCTGGTTTCAAAAGATACGCCACTAGCCTACCTACATTGGAAAACACTTGAAGAGCCATTCAAAACCAAAGACATTCTTCAGATCTCAGCCAAGGCAACCAACCTAATATTGCACCTTATTCTTTTCTATTTTCTTTCCTTTCCTTTTTGAAAGAAAACTAAAGAATATATTTGTTAATTTGAGAGAGTAAAAAATATACTCCTTGATTCAAACATGTAACTTAGGTCWTCTTACATAGGAGAATGACCTACTACAAACAAGGAAAGTAATAAACACCATAAAGGCTGAATATCAACAATAAAGACTAAATATTGACAACTAATATTGACACTTAATATTTACACAAATATTAATAAATCCAACACTCCCCCTCAAGCTGGTTTGAAGATGTCGTCCATAGCCAGCTTGCTGATTAAATTGTCGAATTGTTTCTTTGGAAGTCCCTTGGTTAAAACATCGGCAATTTGCTCTGTTGTCGGAAGATAAGGGATACATATTGTACCTGCATCAATCTTCTCTTGTCAACCTCGATATGTTTGGTTCGGTCATGTAGCACTGGGTTATGAGCTATAGATATGGCAGACTTATTGTCACAATAAATTCGTATAGGTGTCGGCTGAGGAATCTTCAATTCTTCAAGTATCCTTTTGATCTATATACCTTCACAAATTCCATGAACCAATGCTCTAAACTCTGCTTCAGCACTACTCCTGGCCACTACATTTTGTTTTTTGCTCCTCCATGTAACTAGGTTTCCTTCAACAAAGGAACAGTAACCAGAAGTAGACCTTCTGTCGGTAGTACTTCCAGCCCAATCTGCATCAATATAAACTTCTACTTGGAAGTGGTTATTCTTTTCGAATAAAATACCTTTTCCAGGAGTTCCCTTCAAATATCTCAAGATTCTGTAGACAGCTTCAAAATGAGTTGGTCCAGGTGCATGCATGAATTGACTTACCATACTTACAGCAAATGCAATATCTGGTCGTGTATGTGACAGATAAATTAATCTTCCCACGAGTCTCTGGTATTGCTCTCTATCCTTTATTTCTTCTGCGTTTTCTGCTTGTAATTTCAAGTTAGGTTCAATAGGAGTTTCTGCGATCCTACAACCAAGCAATCCTGTTTCTCCAAGTAAGTCAAGAACATATTTTCTTTGATTAACGAATATACCTTTCTTCGATCTTGCGAATTCCAKTCCTAGAAAATATTTTAATGTTCCCAAGTCCTTGATTTGAAACTCACTTGCCAGATTTTTCTTGAGACCAGCTAGTCCTGCTTCATCATCACCAGTGAGAATAATATCATCTACATAGACAATCAGAATTGAGATTTTATTATTCTCAGAGTGTTTATAAAATATAGTATGGTCAGCTTGACTCTGGAGAAATCCATAACTCGATATGACTTTTCCAAACCGTTCGAACCAAGCTCTAGGAGACTGTTTGAGGCCATAGAGAGATTTCTTTAATCTGCAGATTTTATTCCAACCGAGTTCTTTTTCAAAACCTGGTGGCAAATCCATAAAAACTTCTTCCTCAAGGTTGCCATTGAGAAAAGCATTTTTCACATCAAGCTGGTGGAGAGGCCAATTTGAATTAACTGCAAGAGACAAAAGAACTCTAATAGAGTTAATTTTTGCAACAGGAGCAAACGTTTCCTGATAATCTATCCCGTAGGTTTGTGTGAAGCCTTTAGCTACCAATCTAGCCTTGTATCTCTCGATGCTACCATCTGCATTACATTTTACGGTAAACACCCATTTACATCCCACTGGTTTCTTATCCTTTGGCAATTCTACTATCTCCCAAGTACTGTTTTGCTTTAGAGCATTCATCTCCTCCATGACAGCTAGTTTCCAATTTGGATCTTCTAAAGCTTCATGTATATTCCTTGGAACAAACAAATTAGTTATCCTAGATGTGAAGGCCTTATGACTATTTGATAGTTTTTCATATGAAATGTAGTTCGAAATAGGATATTTGGTACAACTTCGAACGCCTTTTCTAATGGCTATGGGAACATCAAGGTCAGAGACAACAGGTGAATTATTTTGAAAATTTGAAGAAGAGGGA